GTCACACAGCTAGTAAGTGTTACGTGTCTGAGGCCGAATTTGAACTCAGGTCCTCCTGAATCCAGGGCCAGTGCTCTATGCACTGCGCCAACTAGCTGCCCCTCCCATAGTTTGTTATTGAAGTACTTTTACTAAAATACTCTATATGTAGTCTAGTAGCCAACCAAACAAGCCTTAGAAATATTTGTTATTCTTGGAACTACTTAAAAATCACTAGTGTCATAAAATCTCTAATTCAGAATTTCTGCCAATAAAATAGAAATGGTGCCAATCTTTTGTTATAATGAATTAAGTAAGCATCTGGCAGATTAAATTTCTTATAGAACTTGGTGGCCAAAGTGGTGGTCTTCCTGACTATATAGAGCAGTAGGCTTGGGACTTTTATATGTAGATACATTTGAATAAATGAAAACTGTAGTAAATGGCCACAGTTAGTAAAATGTGAAAGCCATGGTTTTTTAGATGTTAAAAATTAAATTTCCAAAGGCAGGAATAAATTTTTTTTCAAAGAGCAATTTCACATATGGCAAAGATTATCTATAAAAATGTGTATAAGCTTAATTACTGTACTATCTGAGCTATAAAAAAAGTAAAAATTTAACTTTAAACACAAAGTAAGGAAGTATTTTTTATCTCCTTTTAGCTCTAAAGAAATGTATTATATGCTTTGAAGGTGTTATATCTGCATAGTGTATCTGAAGAAACAGAAAGTGGAAAGCTAGAGATAGTTCCTTAGGCTCCTCCTATTTTGTTCAGATGGTTGTCTTAGTTGTCAATTTCTTTTTCTCTCATTTCAAAAGCCAGTGGTTAGAGTAGTACTGCCCCTAAAAGAAATATATGTGTAACTTAGTGTTGAGGAAGATATCTCCAACGTTTTGGTTCTTTGAACCTGCCACATAGCTTCCCATAAGAAGAGTTTTTGACCACATTACCCCTTACTTAACTTCTGTAAAGTATTTTTGGGTATGATGAGAAAAGAGGCATTATTAGAGACAGGAAGAAGTGGAAAGCCAAGAAGTAAAAGCAATTATAGGATTGAGTGATGAGTAGGAAAGGAAAGGAAGCATTATGAAATAGAAATATTTCTAAGATGGAATAATTTCTCAGCATACCTCCATTGTCATTTGCAGGGAATAGATTTTTTAGGAGATACTCTTGAATGTAAAAAGTATTTGTTTTCAACACAAACTATCTGAAGACTGTCTTAATCTCTCCAAATATTTCCTTTTTTTCATCAGTGATTCAATCCAGCTTAACATTTGGGAAAAAGTATAACACTATTCTTGCCTTTTACGAGGAGCTGTGTCTTGGCTTTTTCCTGTGATGGGTATACTAGGGGACTCTAAAGGGTTGTCTCAAGGCAAATATTTAAAACCTCTTAGGTGAAGAATCAGAGATCATTGTACATTAGAGATGAGTAGGACCTTAGCAGTGATCTGTTCCAGCCCTCTCGTTTTACTGGTAAGGAAACTGATACCTGGAATAGTAAAGTCGCTTGTTCAGGGTTATGTGACTGGATAGGTTTCCCTTGTCAAGTACCTGTACATATGTTGGTTAGATCCAGTGGGTGGTGGTCATAAATTATTGATGGAATTAACATTATATAGAGCCTGTGTGGGCCAGAAAGACTCCTTGGGTGCCAATACTTATAGATGTGCTAGATTATTGCATTAAAAATAGTGTTACTGAATTAAAAAAAAAAACAGGTTGTGAAACTGATACATAGTATTGGGAATCCAAGGAATCTTTTGTCTTTAAGTCTTTTTCCACTAGGGCTTTCCTCCAATGCCTTATTTATGTAAAGATGACTCTGGGTTCTCAAAGACTATACCAGTGAGGCCTGGAGTGTAAGTGTGCTGACAGACTGTCTGTATTCTGAGGATCAGCCTGGCTGATTTCAGAAGGGCTCATCACCATATTGGCTCTGGGAAACAATCTAATAAAGTATAAAAGAATTTGTAATCTGTATTGAGGAAAGGAGTACTTTAAATATTCTTAAAGTATTAAAATATTTTATTTTAAATTAAAATTAAAAATTTGATGGCTTTTTCATATTTACCCTAAATTTATAAAATAAAAAATGATCATGTAAGAATTATGTGAAGTACAGAAAGAAAACATAAGTGAATTAATAATAGATTAGATGATCAAAATTATTTGTAAAACAAATAGCAAGTTCCTAAGCATAGAGAGGAGGAAGAGAAGGAATTCACTTGACCTCCTACCCCCCTCTGGCTCCCACCTTCAAGGCTGCATTGGTGAAAAGAGCATCATAGAGCAGAAAAACAAATAAGCCTGGATTTGACTCCTGGCTTTCTGTGTCTTTTTTTTTGCTGTGCTAGAGGCATTGGGGGCAGTGGAAAGATGGCAGCATTTGGTTGTAAATTTTAGCTTTGCTGTTTGACCTTGAGGTTATGGGCAAGTTTCTGAACCCTTCTAATTCTGAGTTTCCTAATCTGTAAAATGGGGAGGGTTTGAATTGGATGACACCAAGGTCCCTTCTAGCTCTTGATCCATGGTCCTCTTACCTTGCCCAAGTTACAGTTTATCTCTCTGAACTTGTTTATACCTCTGAACTTATTTATACTTGTGGAGGAGTGCAGCATTGTAGATGAAGAACACATCTCAAAGCGAGACCTTCCTAGTTTCCAGGTACAGGGAGTGGAATCACTCCCTGCTCTAGGCAACTGCTTAAGGCTATATAGATGGCTTGGAGAATCTGCATTGGGAGAGTTTCTTCTTCTGAGAGTTCCCTGTACTAGTGAATCACAGGACCTTTCCCTATTCCTGTCCTACCTCATCAGATGGTGAGGAAAGTGCTTTGTTTTTAATCTTTGAAGTTCTGTATAGATGTGAGCTGCTAACCTCCTTGAGCTTTAGTTTTCTCATTTGTAAAATGGGGATAATAACTATAAAATTTAACATTAAATGGGATTTTATGAGTTAAATCTCTTGTAGCTTATAAATGTCAGTTATTCATATTATTCCTTTTCATGGAAAGAAATGCTAAACTCTAGTCTATGACCTATGCAATTGTAGACAGCTCGCTTTCTCTACTATAAAAATGATTAGGTGTATGTCAGAACAGATGTAGAGGGAATTCTGATATGTTATTGGGAGATTGCCTGGTGATACATTAGATGGAGAACAGAGTGATATGTAGCTGGTCTAGTTTTTTTTGTTTCTTTATTTTTATATCTCTATAAATCTGGAGAGGAGAGGCATATCAGCATTTTGCTACTTTGTGTATCTGCTCTTTCCTTTTCCCAGTTTAGTATTTTATTTATTACTCTTTCTCTCTTGTTAGATCTTCAATCTTAAATGTTTCATTTGTTTTCCTTTAGAGAAGCCTGGAAATGGCACTATAAAAGTAGGAACTTGAATTTTTCAGTTTCCTGGCTCAGTATTAGTTTAAATTTAACTGTCAGCAATGATTATTAAACTTACTTTGTTACTCTTATCTTAAATTATTTACATAACACCATATCAGATAAGATAACACGTTGCAGCTTAGTAGCATTCGTTTCATCTCAAACTTACTGGTTATATTCCATAGGTTTTTTTTTGAAAATTGTAATTTGGAACACATTTTAAAAGTGTTGTTATAAAAATATTATTATAAATGGTGGTTACAAGACCTGGTGTGTTGATGCATGCCTGAAATCCTAGCTACTGAAGAGGCCAAGGCTGGTGGATCTCTTCAGCTTGAGAATTCTGAGCTGCAATGAGTTAAACCAGTTAGGGGTCTACACTTAGTTTGTTATTAATATGGTGAGCCCCTGGGAACCAGAGACCACCAGGTTTCAAAGTAGTAACTTCTCATAAGAAGGGATGAAAAAAACCAGGTCAGAAACATAATAGGTTAGAGCTCTCAGGTCTACCAGATTATGAACTGGGCCTGTGTATAGCCCCTGGATTTTCAGATCCAATCTTTAAAAAAAAAGTGGCAGTTAGCATTCTGAGTATAATGCATAAAAATCTGTTAAACCTTCTCTTGAGCAAGAAGTATAATACTTATAGTACTGTTTCACTTGTATCTAATTGCTATTTATTTATAGCATTGTTTTTGTAGGAAAGTACATTCAGAAATGCTAATTAGGATGTTAGGAATTCCTTTCCCTTTTCCATTCCTTCCTCTTCCCCCATCCTCTCAATGTAGTTTTCCTGGCAAGGTTATTGAGAATAGCCTCAGTGGGCAGAAGTAGATGATCCTGGGCATCTCAGTTTAATAGTCTACATTTCTATAAGAAAAAGTGTCTCTATAGATAATTTTCTCCCATTCTGACTTGGACATTAAAAAAAGGCAGGAACTGGAGCATTGGACTGAGACTCCTTGGCACTCTGTTTATATGTATAGGTCATTCATAATGTGTTGTCCACTGGGGACTATCTGTAGTAATTCTCTACCTATCAGCATTCCAGTTCTAATATTATCATACCATAGCTTGAGTATTAGCCATAGAGATTGGTGCTTAACAGAAGCACCGTGCAACTGAATAAAATGCTTCCATAAATCAAGTCCAGTGAGCTCAGTTTTTTTCTTTTCTTTCTTTCTTTCTTTTTTTTTGGCTAGGCAAATGGCGTTAAGTGACTTGCCCAGGGTTACACAGCCAGTAAGTGTTAAGTGTCTGAGGCCGGATTTGAACTCAGGTCTTCCTGAATCCAAGGCTGGTGCTCTATCCACTGCCCCTAGTTTTTCTTTTCTTACCCAAGTTTTTTGGGCAGCTAAGTGATGCAGTGGATAGAGTACCGGCCCAGAGGTCAGGAGGACCTGAGTTCAAATTTGCCCTCAGACCAAACACTTGACACTTTCTAGCTGTGTGACCCTGGGCAAGTCACTTAACCCCAATTGCCTAAAAACTAAAAAAACAAAACAAAAAAAATCAAAAGCAAAAACCAAGTTTTTTTGTTTCCTATGAAGTTCAGTAGTCTTTTGTCTCATTTTATGGAAGATAATGCTGACTGGATCTTGTTAATTACATTCTGATGTTTCCTTGCAGGTCCTGAAAATCCTTGGTTGGTCCAAGCATATGTTTTAGCAGCAAAGCATCCTTTTGCCTCAGTGGTAGCTCAGGAGGTTTTTCAAAGTGGAATTATTCCTTCAGATACAGACTTTCGTATCTACAGAGATTTTGGCAGCATTCCAGGTATGTTATGTTATATTATGTTACTATGTATTATGTTATGTTGTGTTGTGTTATGTTATCAACAATTTTGTGTAAATGTTATAAGAATACAAAATTTCAATAGTTCCTCATAACTTCTTAAATAATTGTTCTATTTTTTTATGTCTTTGGCAGTCTTTTGCAAACTTTTGATAATAGCTAGCACTTATATTAGGATTTAAGATTTGCAAAGTGCTCTACAAATATTACCTCATTTTATCCTTGTAGCACTCCTGTGAGATAGGTGCTATTATTATCTCCATTTTGTAGCTAAGGAAACAGGCTCAAAATTTGAACTTAAGTCTTGTAGCCTGTGATTGTAAATTCTTGTGCCAGACTTTTGCATGAATGAAAGCTGTAATATTTGCCACATTGAATCCAATCACAATCAGGGTTGGAAGTAAACTGAAGAGATCATCAAGTCTAGCCCTTTGTGTTTGTTTTCTGTTCTATGAGGGCATCACAGCTCCAAGTAACAGTGGCACTTACCATTGATCCTCTAAGACAATTTGACACTTAATTTACTATTTTGTCTTTATGTCCTTGGGAGGGCAAAATAATCTTAGTGTGAATGAAAGTTACCTGAGGCTGTAATTTATTTTATTTTTGTTTTGAGTTTTTATTAAAACTGCAGCATTTTTTTTTACCATTTTTAGTCTGTGAGAAATTGTTTAGAGGGAAACTTAAGAGATCATCTGGCCTTTAAAATTTGTGTATGTTAAATGATAATGGTTTGTCTAAGTGTATATTGGTGAAAGAGAGATTCCTCAAAGCTGTTTGTAAAATTAGTTATTTAAGTGAATCATACTCTTCCATTAACATTTATTGTTTTCTAGACTATTATTTAAGGGTAAAAAAAATTGTCATTATTGAAAATGCATTGCTTACTTCCATGTTATTTTATTTCTATAACAAAATAGTGGGAAATTAGGCAGCCTTCGGACACATTAATGTCAAGAAATGAGATTGGGATTTAGAGCTAAAAGAGGACATTAGAGACAAATGAATTGGATCCCAGCCAGGTGAAGCAGTTTTTCCAAGGTTGCACATAGGGGCAGGCTGGTGGCACAGTGAATAGAGCTCTGGGTTGGTGTCAGGAAGATCTGAGTTCAAATGTGATCTCTTATGAGGCACTTAGAAGCTGTGTGACTCTGATCTAGTCATTTCACCTCTGTTTTTCATTTTCTTCATCTGTAAAAATAGCATCTACCTTTCAGAGTTGTTGTGAGGATCAAAAGAGATAATGATTTATAAAGCACTTAGCACAGTGCCTGGCACATAGTAGGCACTATATGAATGTTATTGTTGTTATTTTATATGAATCTAAGATGCAAACCTAGGTCCTAGGCAATCCAGTGTCCTTTCTCCCAAATTGTGTTCTTTGCTAGGGAACTCATTCTGGAATAGTGTCTTAACTAGAGGTTGGAGAATGGACATTCCAAATCCCTCCTCTTTGTATGTTATAAGTTTGTCTCCTTCTCTTGGTAAATCATTGGATGGTCACTCTTGTGCCTAGATGATGTCTACAGTTCCTTTTAGAATTGATTGTCTAATTATAAAAATGTGCATGTTTAGGTTTTTAACTAATATTTCCTGAGAGATTTTATACTTCAGTATATGAATTTTAGTCATAACTGTTCTCTTGTGATTAGATCATAGACTCTCAGATTTCCCTTATATATAAATAGTGCAGCAATGCAAATCAACTGCCTGATTAACCAAATTGTTGAGATTTAATCATTATAAAATACTCATCAATCAGCATCAGCCATTCAAGCATAAGGCCTACTTATGTAGAAGGCACTGGACCGAGAGGAAGGGGTTCACAGACAAAAATGAGAAATACTTGCTGTCTGGAGTTACAATAAGTTAACAATGATAGGTAGCAAATTTATGCAGCACTTTAAGGTTTGCAAAATGCCTTACAAACAAGAAACCTTATCTGATTTGATCCTCACATCAATCCTAGGAGACAGTTGCTACTGTTATAGTCATTTTACATTTGAGGAAACTGAGGCAGGCAGCTTATAAGGGTCACATAGTTAGTATGTGTCTGGGACTGGTTTTGAACTTGGGTCTTCCTGATTAAAGGTCCAGCACTGTCCACTGCATCTAACACACATAAATCTAGACAAAATTAAGTAAATTTGGACGTGAGGGAGCTAGGTGGGGGAGAGGATTGAGGTGGCTGGTTCTTGAGCTAAGTTTTAAAGGAAAATAGGATTTCTTAAAAAATGAGGTAAAGCAGGAATGACTTTTAGGACAGACAATCTAGACAAAGATATGTGAGGAACAGTAGGACAGCCAGGAGAGGTTAGGTCAGAGGGAGAACCAAGAGAGTGATGGTGAAAAGAAATCAAACTATTTTCAAGCTTAATAATTGGCACATTAAATTATGGACTTCTTTTATTTTGGAAATAATCATCAGCTTGTCAGGAGGAGGACAATTTTATGATGCAATTATTTAAAGTAATTTAGACTGAAGTGAGAGTAGGCTTTATCCTTTAATGGTTTTGCTTTTCAAATGAGTAAAAGTAAATAAATCTCAAATTGTGTGAAGATAATTATGATTTTTTTGAGTCAGACAACCAGGTATATTTTGCTTACTTTAGCTAATTTTTCTCTACCTCAAATGACAAATCTACCAGGTCATAATATAGATGATAGCTAGTTCTGCAAGGGTCTTTGAAATTTTGTTTATTTCTTCTGTGCCTAAATGAGCAGCCCCTTTTATAAACTGTTTGAAACTTGCTTTTTGGTTCTGGCCAGAAAGGTACAATTTTGTGGAACTAAAAAAAAATGTGTGAAATGAACAGATATAAGTGAGGCTGTTCTTTAGAAGATTGAACTTTTATGTACTTAATAAAAATAATATTAACCTATAAATTGCTGTGTTTATGTTTTCCTTTTCATTTCTTAGGAATAGATTTGGCTTTTATCGAGAATGGCTATATTTACCATACCAGGTATGATACATCAGACAGAATTCTCACTGATTCGATTCAGAGAGCAGGTTAGTATTAAATTTTCATGAGCAATATGTATAGATATATTTGTTTCCCAAAGTTGTGTACTTTTTAATATCAGAGTAATTTCTTCTGGAGTCACTATTTATGTGCTTCTTGAACTCGAGTGTATCTAATGAGGCCACAGGCTATTTGCTTCTAAGACCATTGTTAATGCTGATCTCTACTCAGAAACTTCCATCTGTCTGGGTTAGTATTGTCCATTATGTTTCTTAGGAACTATAATTTCTGACTTTTAGAATTTTTGTAACTTTTTCAGCTTTTACTTAAAATTATCAAATTAAAAATATATTTGTTTTATATGGTAGCAGTAATGTCTCATGCATAGCTCATCTGGGCTTATTATGTTCAGGGAGCTGACTGAGCAGGAATCATGCCAGATGAAAACAAATAGAACAGTATATCCAAGTATGCACTTTTTATCTACACAGGTAGTTTCTTCTACTCACTAACCAGGCATGTTCTACTTCTGTTAGTTGGTTTTTTGGACTGCAGAATATATTTTCTAATAGAAAGAACATTATCAATGGTGACTAGGTGCTTGGGCAGCCTATAAAGCCTAACCCCACAATGTAGCTGAAGGTTGTACAAATGGTACTATTTCAGCTCTATCTAACCATGATTGAAACACCTTTTTCTTTGAGAAAAAATTCTGAGTTATTGCTGATAAGTATAAGAATGCCTTTTCACCTGGGAGCAGATACTTTTTATGATTTTGGCAATGAAGCCTTCTCTTGGGGTTTGTAGGAGCAACTCTTGAATACCAGTTGTTTATACATTTGTGTAAGAGAAAGAACTTCATTTGCCCAAGACGAATTGAACCTTTTTCAGTCCTGTTGTTTTCTGAACTGGTAAACAAAGGGCAGTCTGTTCCAGTGAGAATAAAAGCGAACCTTTTTATTCCTTTTATGTTTTGCTTTTGTTTCCTAACAATTAAAAACTTTAAAAAGATTCTTCATAACAGTTTTATTCCATAGTGCCCTAAGGAGAGAGAGGAGAGACACATTTGGGTCACTTATTGACTTGATCTTTACTTCCAGAGATAGATGGAGTCAGCAGCTAAGGTATTAGGCAGTGGTTAGGAATAATAATGATGGTAGCCAGCATTTACATAGCACTTTAATGTGTTCTATACATTATCTCTTTTGATCCTTACAACAACCCTATGAAGTAAGTGATGTCATTATCCCCATTTTACAGATGAGGACACCGAGGCTTAGAGAGGACAAGTGACATGCTCAGTTTCACACAGTTAGTGTCTAAGGTAGTATTTCAGTTAAGGTGTTCCTGACTCTTCAGTCCAGTGTTCTATCTGTCATGCCACATGGCTGCCCACCATAGTATGAGCTTTATCATGCTCATTCTAGGCAGTTTTGTTGGTGTAAGATGGTAGTGGACATAACTGATTCAGAAACCAGGGAGATTTATTTCCTTGTGGGTCCCACCAGGGAATTGGACTCTCCTTAGAATAAGACTGGATGGTCCATGGTGAGATGCAAGGCCTAGCTAGGTTATACCAGAAACTGTAAGGGAAGAGTCACATGATTGCCTAAGAGTTATGAGGCCATCCAGATACAACTAAAGTTTATTCCTAGTGGTGGCCCGTGGATAGTTAGATATTATAGATAGAATTAGGGATGAGTAATTCTGCCATTTGGTGAAGCCAAGTGAGGTGGGCACAGTCAGTGTATGTTTTTTGCAGTATCAACTTTGGTTGAAGTGGGATGGTAGACTGCTGTGACAGATTTCATGGGAGGTGTAACTTTGGAGGAAAGGGGTGACCAGTGAGTAAAGTGAAGCAAGTAGAGTCATCCATAAAATAGACGATGGGTGAACTATTCTTTTCTAGTGTTAAATGATATGACTTGCCCAGATAGTGGTTCATGGAAACTTTTTGAAGTTGTAGTTCAAGAGACTGGCAGGAATGAAATCAAGGACAGAATGAATGGACAGGAAATGGAAGCAGGGGACTTAGTCTATTTCAGTAAATATGATTGTGAAAGGAAAAAGAAAAATAGGAAGAAGAGAAGAGAAATATTTGTTTTTTTTACTTAAAACTGATTGAAGATCAGTTGACTCCCATAGCTTAATTATTTCTATTTCAAAATATGTATAGAATAATTGTATATAGTATGTTAAAATGATGTGTTATTTATGTCTGCTTTTTCCTGTAGGTGACAACATTTTGGCTGTGCTTAAATATTTAGCTACATCTGATAGCCTGGCTTCTTCCTTTGAGTATCGACATGGAAACATGGTCTTTTTTGATGTGCTTGGCTTGTTTGTCATAGCCTATCCAGCTCGTGTTGGCTCAGTAATTAACTACATGGTGGTAGTAGCTGTTGTCCTATATTTGGGCAAAAAATTCTTGAAGCCCAAACAGAAGGGTAAGTATGTATCTTCAATATAAATACAAGGCAATAGAATTTTTATGAGGCAAATCTTTTTCTTTGCATTAAGTTGTGGGAAAACTCTATATTATGTGTGGTCCTAAGAAAGACTCCCACAAATAGTCTGTTCTACACACCCGTTTCATTACAGCGTTCACATATCTGTATATCTATTTGGTGGGGAAGGGCAAGGGAATAAGTGTTTGCATATAGCCTACTTTGTGCTAGGCACTGTATTAAGCACTTTACAATAAACACTTTACAGGTAATATTTTATTTATCCTCACAACAACCATGTGCTGTTATTATCGTTTAACAGTTGGGGAAATTGAGGCAAAGGGAGGTTAGGTGTCTTGCCCAAGATCATACAGCTATATTTGCTAGCTAGTAAATATCTGAATCCGTATTTGAACTCAGGTCTTGCTAAATCGAGGCTCAGCACTCTATCCGTTGTGCCTCATAGCTGCCTTTAATTAATGTGTGTCACAAACTTTACATATATACACATGCATACATGTATGTATGTACCTTTTGACTTAGATTTTCATGTTGAGTGAATCTTTTACCATGGAATCAATCAGATATACTAGAAGAGACTCCAGAAGCTATCTATATTCATTCCATGTACACAGGACTGTACATAAACAATTTTGGACTGACCTATTTGAATGCCAAGCATAATGACACAATTTCATAGGTACCCAATGACCATTAGTTGATTAATTATTCTTAGTTATCTTTAGGGAAAGTTTTAATAAGTTGAATTAATTGTATGAGTGTTTAACAAATGTTATTGTCAGTAAATCACTTTATTATTTATGACATTGAAAACTTTACTCTCTTAACTTTTACTGCAATAATTTTACCAGTTGATTATGTAGTGAGTTTGTTATAGTTTGTAATTTGTAATCTAAACTTTTATTTTTCTTTTCTTTAGCTGCTAACTACACAAAGGATTTCTTCTGTGGGCTTGGCATCACACTGATAAGTTGGTTTACCAGCTTAGTTACTGTTCTTATTATAGCAGTGTTTATTTCTCTTATTGGACAGTCTCTTTCATGGTATAACCACTTTTATGTCTCAGTCTGTCTATATGGGACTGCAGCTGTGGCTAAGATAACACTTGTGCATACACTTGCAAAAAGATTCTATTATGTGGTAAGTGCTGTAGATATGTGATTGCTTGTTGCTTTCTTCTTAGAAGGGAAGAAAAACTGACATCATAACTGCGATGAAGGAGAAGGTTTAAACATAAGAATTTCATTTGACAAATACTATCTCAGATCTCAGTTGCTGTACTGGAAGTGTGTCTCAAATCAGGAGTTATGATAAATAGGTCAGGAAACTTGTAGTATGCTGAACTGCATTATGGTAAGGCTTGTTAGGATAGGCTCTTTTCATCTCTTAGTTTTGTCCTCCTATTTGTACATATAATGCACTTCCCATCAGCTCCTCCCTGTTAGCCTTTTACTTTGTTTACCAAGAAAAGATTTTATTATCAGTGGAACAGAAATGTTGCCAAGCTTTTTTATATTTAGTTAGAGTTACACAGTGAAACATTTTTAGAACAGTTGTCTTAGAAGAAGATTTAAGTTACATTTTTTCAAGCAGTTTTTGGTTTTAATGCATGAATATTAACAAAAAAAAACAAACCAACAACCCTATAATGAAGAATCCTTGTCCTGAGAGAGGTGAACTTATTTAAGTCAGCCATTTAGCCAGAAAAGTATAGGTTGAAAAATACTAGAATCCAGTATTTGACATATGTGTCTATTTATGTGTCTATTTATGCTCTCTGTAGATTCAAGGCAATTGATGGAAACATTTAGTGGTAATTAGATTCCAAAAATTGACACTATTGTTAGTTAGATTTCTTTTTTTTTTATCTTATTTTTGTTTGGGATAGATTTTAATCGAATATACTTTTTTAGATAAAACTGGATAGGCTGCTTAACAATATTTTTCATGGATGCTTCAAAAAATGTGGGAACCGTAAATGTTTTATATAAGCAGGTACCGCAGAAGAGAATTGCTCAAAAATTCAAGTCATACAGCTTTGTTTACTCGATCCATTCAGCTTTCTGTCCAAGCCAACTTCAGAGAGGTTTTCCGCCCTGTCTTGTCATGGTGCTTATGTTGCTGATTCTAAGTTCTTTGGAAAGTTACAGAGACCTTTGAAGTTTTTCAGTTGTAGTTAGTTAAAATTCTAAGTAAATCAACTTTCATAAGAACTCCTTTTGTATCTCAGACTATCAGTTTTTCTTCTTTTAAAAACTTTAAACAAATGAATTTTGTATTACATCTCTGACTTTTTTTCTTTTTATACCATGTGACTTTTCTCCATTGACTAATTTTAAAGATACTTGTGTGCTATTGAAAATAATGTCAATTACAGGATGATAAAGAACTCAGATAACAGAGTTCTGGACTTTTGTTAGACTTTTTTGCTTCCTGTGTTCTTTTCCTTTTGCCTTTGTGTTAATTTCATTAATGCTTTTGAATTTTCCCTTTATAAACTTTTATTGTGCTGTGCGTTTATAAGAGTGCAGAGTATTTGTACATTCTGGGTCTTTACAGGAAACCATCTTTAGTTATTAGAGGCAGCAGAATGTCTTACTGTCTCTCATGTAGAAAATTTCCTGTAAGAAAATCCTCTTTGCACACTAATAGAATTAATTTATTAACTTGAAAATTTTTAAATATAGCTTAATTAAAAAAAAAAGAGCTTGGAAGTTGACTCTATAACTTGAGCCAAATTTTAAATTTGGAAAATTTTCAAAAGTTCTACCTAATTTTGGTTGTATGCTTACTCTCAAAGAACTTAAAACAGAATGGGACTTTAAAGCTATTTTACCCAGCCCTATCATTTCACCAGTGAGGAAACTCACTGTGAGTTTCATTGAGTTCAGTGAAAAACGGTGAAGCTGGAAAACTTGTCTGAGTTCATGGAACCAGGAAGTAAATAGGAGATCCAGAATTTGAAATCAAGTCTTCCTACACAGTGAGAGAAAGTCTGGGGTCGTGATCTGTGATCACTCAAATTTCTGTTCTTCTTGAGTTTGCTGACGTGGTCCTACTTTGGCATTCATTTTTGGTGTCATGTACACTAAGAGTTTTCTCAAAGAGCTGTATTCAACTTTATGATAGAATTAGAAAGGCCCCAGTGGTATTAATGTAAAGTGTTATGTTTTAAAATTACACTTATATAGATTGTACACAGTTCATTCTCAGGAAATTTCCAATTGGAATTTTATTATTGTTACTTATAAAATTATTTTTTGACTTTTTTCTGTTCCTTTTTTTTTCTATCTGTTTTTATTGGTCCAGATTCCCTATTCAGGAATGTGTGACAGAGACAGCCACACAATTAAGGAGAGGGTGAAGGGAGATGGTAAGGGCTTCAGAAGTGCTTGTTCTTTGGTCACAGTTTGGATAATAATTACTTCACTGTATAGTTTCACCTGTGTGAGTTAGATTTGGTGAAGATGAAATTAGGAGTCAGTATGCAAATTGGATGGAAATAATTTATAGTGAAGTACAGAGCTGTGTCCTTTGAACTTCTAGAATGACAATCAGTCTTAGTTTATTTCCTCCATTGTGAATTTCTTTAGTTTTTTTGGGTGTGTGTGTATATGTGTTCTCACACGTGTGCCTACCTACCAACAAATAAATGATATAGGATAAGGAACACTGCCTTGTATATAGTAAGTGCTTAATAAGTACTTGTTGAATTGGATTATTGAATTATTGAATGGCTTGCCAACTTTTCAAACACTTGAATAAAGAAATGGGAGACTAATTGAAACTGCTAGGGGAGCAGAATGCCTTTGGTATTAGTAATTAATTGTCATTTTCAGTTAGTGTCAGAAAGATCTATTTTGGGGAGCAGGATCCACGGAACCTAAGGTACATATTATAGTGATGATTGGAGCAGTACTTTTATCTGAGTTGTCTCCGTGTCTAGAAGAATTACACTTTCCTACTCCTTTCCACTCCTCTCTTACCTTCCTGTTGCTTAAATGTCTCACAGTAGTTCCCAGGGCAGAGAGATGTGGAGCCAGAATAAGAGCAGGGATTTTGGGTGGTGAGCTTTCTTATCATGGTGCTTCATTCCGGAAAGCTAGATGAAAAGAGAAATAATAAAAGTGTTCTTTTTTCTGGTGAGACTTAGGCACCCATTTTAAATGCGTATTGTTACTATTCTAGTACTGGTGCTGCTACTACTGCAACTCTGAACAACAGCAAGAGTAATGGTCCCTCTTAGCACAGGGGAGGAAACTATGAGGGCAAATGTAGTCAGATTCAGAAACTACGTTGTCAGATGTAGTGTACATATTTGTTTTTTTTTTTTATAAGAAAGAGTTCAGTTCCAAGGTAGTGAGAGGCAGTTGGAAGACATGTCTAAGTATTATAGTTAGTAAAAACAAAAGGCATTAAACAAAACAAAACAAAAAAACCAAAATAACAGATTAGCATGGAGGCACTGTGACCTAGTGGGCGCAGAGTTGGGAGTCCTGGGTTCAGTCCTTGTCTCTGATAATTTATTAACTGCATGTCCCCAGGCAAATCATTTAGTCTGTCTGCTGCCTCAGTTACCTCATCTGTAAAATGGGTAGACTAATATTACTTCACAAGGTGATTGTAGGGGAAGCATTTTGTAAAATGTAATTTTACTTTATAAATGCACTATATAAATGTGAACTATTTTTTTAGAGTATTATTAGTTCCAGAAGAAGCATGGTTTTAGGTGGAATAATGTTTTAGGGCACAGTACTATAGGAAAAAAAGTCATAATAGTCTATCAGCTCAACAGAGTTTCTGTAGGGTTTCACAACTTTGATTTGGTTATAAGGTATTAATGATACTGCCAAACAGTTATATTTAGAAATCCTTTGCTAGGGTATGCCGGTATGGGAGGAGGTTGCTTTGTCAGTGTTAACTTAAAAGGATACTGAAGTGATTACATTAAATTGAAAAAAAAAACTGTCCCATGAAAATTTCTGTTTTTCTTTCAGCATACAAGTGAACAATACCTGGGAGAGGTGTTTTTTGACATCTCGCTGTTCGTGCATTGTGGCTCTCTTCTTCTGCTCACCTCCCAAGGACTGTGTTCTGCATTTATTAGTGCTATCTGGGTGGTGTTTCCTTTGCTCACGAAGCTGCTTGTCAATAAGGATTTCAAGCAAAATGGTAGGAAATTGTTTCATACAGATGTAGGGGAGAAATTTCCCTTAATTATACTCCAAATATGTTTCTTGGGCATGTTTTTTTCACCTTGATCTGTGCTGTGTGGGGTGTTTTTGTTTTAAGTGCCAGCCTACTTTATCATGATAGTTCCCTTTCCTTTCAGTTCTCTAGGCTAGTGTTGATAGGGATCTTATATCTAAAGTAGGAGATAATTCTATTTATTTTGCTATTTCTTATTCTGTTAGACTTTTACAATAATCTAAATAAAAAAAATGATAAAAATATACCTGAATTTCTAGCAGATGTAGATGAGCGACTTCTAATATTAAAAATTGAAATACCTAGGCTCAGAAGTGAGAGCTTTGAGGGAAGATTAGGCTCATCTTGCTTTGGGGATGAGCTTTCTAGAATAGTGCCTCATTATCCCTTTCACAGGGTAGTGTCTGTTTTTTCTTTAACTAAGGACATGGTAATTACCATTAGCAAGTTGTCTTCCCCTCTACTTTTCCTTTCAAAATGGGAAAGATGAATAAGTAATTTACCTTCTCTTATAGATTACAATAGTGTCTGATTTAGCTCAGTTGGGAGTTTCTTTAATTTTCAGGAATTGCTTCAAGGTTCCCCTATTCTGGCTGTTGATATGGGGTTCTGGTTAATTTGTCAAGCAGTAGTCTCATTAGTTTCCATGACCTGGTTGTTGTCTTCACTTGAGTTTTTGTAAAACAGTAAAAATATTTAAATTTTAGGGACTTTGCTGCAACTGTGTTTTTAGTTTCCAGAGAGCCATAGTTAGGTTGCAGATATTATGAGTAGGTGGTATTCCCAGCCTAAGTCTGAAGTTAATGATTAGACAGTGGGTAGAAGAGCACCCTTTGAAATCTCCTATACTATTCTTTTCATTTCTTTTTCTTTTTTGGGGGGGGGCTAGGTGATGGGGTTAAGTGACTTGCACAGGGTTACACAGCTAGTAAGTGTTATGTGTCTGAGGCCGGATTTGAACTCAGGTCCTCCTGACTTCAGGGCTGGTACTCTATCCACTGTGCCACCCAGCTGCCCCTATGCTATTCTTTCTTCTCAACCCCTTTAATATAGATCACAAACAAAAAGAATATCTAAGAATGATTCAAAACTTGGAAAGTTGCTTATGTGTGAGTTCAAAGGCCCCGGTTATCCTACTAAAATGTGCTCCTAGGCTTTTCTCCATCTTAATCCAGTATACATTATTGAATAGCTAGTTGAAGAAAGGGAAAATAACTACCTGTCCTTCAGGTGCTTGCATTCTTTTAGGGAGATGCAAAATATGAACAAGTACTGTCTTTCCATGGTAATTTAAAGAGAGAGCAGGAAATTAGGAGGACCTCTTCTAGTAAACGGATGGCACATGAACTGAGCCCTGGGAAGGAAGTCTGTTCCTTTTTTTTTCTTTCTTTTTTTTCTTTTTTTTTTTTTTGGTGACTATGGCCTTTGTCTACCTTTGCTCCTCTAGTTGTACTTTTTAGTATCTTATTCATCTTGGCTTCTGTCCCTTGGATTCTTCCTATCTGCTGACCTGGGTCATTTTTGTCCTCTTAGATTTGATATCTGTTACCACTATAGCATCCTGATATAAATCCAGACTTTCTCTTCTTCACATCTCCAATTCCTTGTCTTTCAAGGCTCAGTTCAGATACTATCTTTTCTATGAAGCCTTCCTTAATACTATCCCCTTCATGCTTTCCCACATTGTAGATAATCCCTACATCCTCAGTTTTCATTGTCCTGAGCTTGCATACATGTTGTAGCCCTGTACCCAATACAATGTAAGTTCTCAGGATCAGGGACTACTTTGTTTATCATCAGCAAACACACTCATGTATTACATACGTACACATATATTTTTTATATGCTACTATATCTGAATTGGCCTGCCTTCTTACTCTCTATTTAAAGTTTCACAAGGGTGACAATGATACTGAACATTTTTTCTCTAAATGTTTAAGTAACTAGCAGACTAGCAGATATCTTATAATTGTTCTTCAAATGTATGGTGATGATTTAAAATCTAGATGTGATTTCAAGATAGATTGTAATTTTTTTTCTTCTCTCTGTCTTACAGGTGCTAAAGGAAGATTTATCATGATTTACCTTCTGGGCATGTTTGTCCCATATCTTTATGCACTGTACCTTATTTGGGCAGTGTTTGAAATGTTTACACCTATCTTAGGAAGAAGTGGTTCAGAAATCCCACCTGATGTTGTGTTGGCTTCCATTCTGGCTCTCTGTGCAATGATTTTGTCTTCCTATTTTGTAAGAACGATTTTAATTTTTCTTTTTAATAGCAAATCTTTTCAAGTGCCGATTTGTGGTAGATGTAGCAGTGCTAGGTCATGTTTATATTTTAGTAGTTGGGGAGGATATAATAAAGGGACAAATAGCAACATAAGTATGATTGAATAAAAAATTTGTGGGTTACTGACCTAAGCTAGTATTTAATTTTGACCTTGGTCTGTACTTAAAATTCTTTCTAATTTTATATTCTGTTATATTCTGCTTTGAGTTTGTGGAAGCTATTGCAGATGACAATTGAGCTCCATTAGTGGAGTTCACTTGGTACAGAACCTCTCTGAATGGTTATTGATGTTTTTTATGAACCTTTAGGAGTAAACACATAGCATTTAAGTCACATATCACAACTAAGGGCAGGGGAAATAATAATTCATGGATCTAGTAATGATTTAGTAGTAATATCTTATTCAAAATGAATTATTGATCTGAGTAATTAGTCAGTAAGCAATTATTAAAATGAGAGGGTTGAACTGTATGGCCTCTTAAAATTCCTTCTAGTTCCGAATCTGTGATCCTATAATTATATTACCTGTTATGTCGTGAAACTGTTCTTTTATTGATGGGAAGAAACTAGAGGAAAGAATAATCAAATATGCCATAATTCATTAAGTTTTTTAAGATAGAAAAGTGCCCCTTGGAAGACTTCTTATAATGAAATAACTATGTAACTTCTTGATGTAAATTGTAATTATTTTTTATAATTTTTCTAAATTATTTTTTATAATTTTTCTATATTCTAGCAACATCAAAGTTAGTTTCTTGTTAACAAAGAAACTTCTCTGAATAATGCCATTTGAAACCTACTATCTCCTTCAGTGATCTTTTCTTGGAATTCTTGTGAATTTATTAAAGTTATTTTCTTGAACCTTACTAAAATCTGTTTAAGGAACATATTAATTAAAACTTTAGGGTTACCACTGAGTCAAAAGATTTATATTTGAATCCTGATTCTACTACTTTAATATCTCTGGGCCTCACTTTTCCTCTTTGTAAAGTGGGGAGTATACTTGCTTTTACAAAACTCTGACTGTTGTGAAGATCAAAATCAGATGAACAAATGAGCATAGATTAAAGCTCTTCTTATGTTCTAAGAACTGTGCTAAGTGTTGGGCATGCAAATAGGAAAATAGAACCCCTGCTCTGAAAACAAATGTTGGAATAACCAAGTACTTTATTTTCTTTACTTGTTATTTATATGGTTTAAGTGTGCACAGAATTGCTAAGACTGGGTCTACTTAGGTTCCGACATTTCTCTTCTCTAACTTCTATTCACAACAGATATATAACAAACATGAGGGAGTTAGACTAGAAATCTCCAAGGCCCCTTCCAGCCTCTAGAAGGATTGAGTGCCCTGCCTGAGGACAGAGAGATAAAATTGCACAGCCAGGGCATCAACCTAGGGCCTTTTGCCTCCAAATCCTGTTGTTGGTCAACAAGCATTTATTAGCTGCCTATTGTGTGCCAGGTACAGTGCTAAGGAAGTGTTCTTTCCACCACACTGTGTGGCATCTACTTCCTAGGATTGACATTTCCTAGGTTTTATATATCAGGAGGCTCTGCGATCAAATTCTGGTAATGAGCTTTTCTGCTTCGCTGCGAGTCCTCCAGTAGCAAAGACAGGCTGTTAGCAATATAGTGCGTGGTCAGCTCTTACCCATAGAGCAAAAGGCAGACTCTTCTGTTGGTCATTTAAAGTGTTACAGCTCCAGTCTGCTTCCACATTACTCCCCTTGACACATGAGGTTCCAAATCAGCTGGCTTAGTTTTTATTTTGTTTATTTTTATTTCTCTTACTTATTGATTGGATGTTGATAACCTTAATGGTTATGTGGTCTTAAGTGAGTCACTTCTTTAGGCCTCATTTTCTGATTGTTCTCTCAGGTCCTTTTAGTTCTTAATGTGATGATAATAGTGATGATAGCTGACATTTATATAATGCTTTAAACCTTGCAAAGTCTTTTGTATACATTTTTGTCCTCCCAACTTAGTGAAATATGTATTACAGGTATTATTATTAGCACCATTCTATAGATACAGAAACGGAGGCAGAGAGGTTAAGGGACTTGTTTGTGGTCACACAGCTAGTAAGTGTCTGAGATGGAATTTGTATCATGGTCTTCTTGACTCCAAGTCCAGCATTATGTCTTAGGCCAGGATGATCTTTCAAACACCTATTTAGAGCTAATTTCAGTCAGTCATTGACAGAATGCCATAAAGCCGTATCATGTAGTCAGTATGTTTTAGGTTGTATTGAATTTAGATATGTTTTAGGTTGTATTGAATTTAGAAGTTGTATGTAGAAAATAAGCTCTATGAGGGAAGTCTACCATCTCACTTTACATCCCCATTGCTTCACACAATACTAGGCATGCAGTAGGTACTTATTGATTCATTGTTTTTAAACACATTACCAGCCTTGAAGAGATTTAGAGATACCATTCTTGTAATTTAATACTGCTGCTGATGTTTTTTACTTGTCTGTACAATTGGCTATTATTCTTTTTTAGTGCTATGCCAAGGTAGTATTACAGTGTTATGTTAAAAGAATGAATGGGTGTGAAAGGAGTGCACAGTCATTTGAGAGCATATAGAAAATTCACCCCCTACTTTGTTTTCCCCAATTCCTGACTAGCAGCATGTAAAATCAGACAATATTGTAGCTGATGTGGTGGTGTGCACAGCTCTGTGTATAACAACATCCACTCTGCTGGGATCCCCTCACAAAATCAGTATCCTCTTGCGGCAAAGAAGTGTTGATTAGTGCTATGTAGGAAACTCCTCATGACTTCATTTTTGTTAAATGGTAGAAAAAGCATACATTATAATGATTCAAGTCAACATGAGTGCTTTTAACAGTATCTTTTAACCAATGTTATCTGTTATTGATGCCTGTTTTTGTGTTTTGTGCTTCAGATTACCTTCATTTATCTTGCCAAAAACACAAAGGTGACGATATTTGCTCTGGCTTCAGTATGTGCAATTACATTCCTTCTTGTTTGCAGTGGTATCTTCTTTCCATATAGTGCTGATCCTGCTAATCCAAAGCCCAAGAGAGTCTTTCTTCAGGTAAAAACCGAACACACACTCTCTCTCACTTACTCTCTCTCTCTCTCTCTCTCTCTCTCTCTCTCTCTCTCTCTCTCTCTGTCTCTCTCTCTCTCTCTCTCTCTCTCTCTCTCTCTCTCTCTCTCTCTCTCTCTCTCTCTCTCCCTCTCCCCCCCACACACACACACACACACACAACACACACACACACAAACACACACACACACACACGTACGTCACACACACACGTATAGGAAGATTTTGAGCGCAATTAGTCATCAGGAAGTCAGACTCCCATTCTTGGTCTGAACTTTCTGGGATGATCTTGGCCTTTTTGGTATAGAGCAGTGAGGAAAAAGCTGAGTAGTGGCATGCTCATCAAGAAGAGCATTAAACATTAGTTTTCTAGAGAGTTAATGTTCACTTAGCCAAACCAGACAAGCAGAAATAAAATGGTATATTTTCAAAGTCACTATATGGGGAAAACATGTGAGAAACAGATAATTAGGTTTTAATACATAATTGCGATCAATATGTTTATAAAGTATGATAAATTTAAAGTTGTATTTCTCTAGACTGACAACAAATCTGAACTCCCCTAAACTTTGGCAAAATACATGCTGTTTTGTTTTGAAGAATGCTGGTGGTGAAATTGAAGAAAGGGCTGACTCATGTAGCATCACATGAAAATGGAAGCTGATGAATAACATGATCATTGTACATTCTTTTGGATAGTTGGAATCCACCACTCTGAGCTGCCGTAGAGTAATACTAGTACTGGATTACATTCAGCCTCCTTGTTCTCATGCTCTTATTTTTGATAGAAATAAATACTGACAGGTTGTTAAAGAAAAATGGAAGGGAATTAGGAATCCTGGATAATTCCCGTTGTTTAAATGGCTCCTAGATTATTGACAGTTGGATATATCTTATTTTGAAACAAAATAGGAGAGAAGAACTAAAAGTAGGAGGTTTCTGAATAGAGATTAATTGTCTTAGGAAATAGGCTTGGGGAACCAATGAATACATGTAGTATGGAGAAATCTTGTTTTATCATTACCACATTAAAGAACCATTTATGAGAGGTTCAGTTTGGTTTCAGTGACTCAAGTTTTCTTAGTACTTAACTAACTGTAAAGTTTACATCATTGTTTAGGGAGAACTGCATTCAAAAAAAAATCTTTTTAGGTTGCCTTCTGGTATGATTCTTTATCCTTTTTTGTTTTTTGTTTATTTTTTATTAATCAGTGTTCTTAATTTTTCTCTAAAGCATATAACTAGAACATTTCATGGCTTGGATGGAATTGTAGTGAAGAGAGACTCTGGAATATGGATTAATGGGTTTGATTACACTGGAATGTCTCACATCACTCCTTACATTCCTGAGATCAATGACACCATCAGAGCCCCCTGTGAGGAGGCAGCTCCCCTCTGTGGTTTCCCTTGGTATCTTCCAGTGCATTTTCTAATCAGGTTGGTAGGAACGTTGTTATTTTTAGGGCCCTTTGTGGATGGAGATTTTTCTAATACCTATGAATGACTCAGTGTTCCATTATTAAATATTTATGCTGATGAAGAATCATAAACCCTTTGTACTGTATTTATGTCATTCAGAATTCTGCTTGTTTTGTGGGATAAATTCTCTTCCTGGGGTGATTTAGTTGTCACCCTCAGGGATTCTTTCTTAGGGAACTTTGGAAAGGGTGGGCTTGCTCAGCAGCCTCTGTCATGAGATAGCAATCGAGCAGGAAGCTTCAATTTCATTTAGCTTGTTTAGGTATTTTAGAAAAATCAGAAAATTTTCCTAGAAAACCTTTATGTTTTGGGAAGGAAAGCCTGGCTCAAGGCAAGAAGAGACAAAGAAGGCAGTGATAACAGGGATTGAAGTCTTTTTTTTTTATAAACCTCAACTTTTGGTGATATATTTTTGACTGTTAACTAATTCCCTTGGTCTTTTGGGAGGTGCTGCTTAGATTCTCTCCCCACAGAGAGAGTTAGCAAGTTGATTTTTGAAATCACAGTTTATTGCCATGGAAACTACTACCTTAATGTGCACTAGACATCTTCAGTGCTTCAGATGGTGTGCTGAAAAAAGTGTACATTATTGCTTCTTCACTTAAGATTCCATAATATATGAAAAGCATTTCTAAAGCTCTAAATATCCTTTTTTTTTTTTAAAAAAAAATAAGGAAAAACTGGTATCTTCCTGCACCGGAAGTTTCTCCCAGAAACCCTACTCACTTTAGGCTTATATCCAAAGAGCAAACACCCTGGGAGTCTACAAAGTTAACCTTTGAAGTAACAGGTAAGTAAGATTAATCTCTCTTCTTTTTACTCTTTTGCTTTTACTTTGTGTTTTTCTAATTTGGTGTTACGATGAGCAAATTTGGAAAGGTTTGTGATTTCTCTAAAAATAGTTGAGCCTAGTTAGGATTATCATACTTCAGGTTAACATTTGCTACCTTCATTTGGGGACTGGTCTTAAATTCAGCCTTTCATTTGGCATAAGTAGACTTGTTTTATTGATCTCATCCTCTTTTGCTGCTCTTTCCATGGCCTAAAGCCATCTCATGGTTCTTTGATTCCTTTGGTAGCTTTATTTACAGGGCAGTACCTAATGTGGGAATATTTTTTATTTCTGTAATGTGGTGGAGTTGTTCTTTGAAAGTGAGCACAAATGCCAGATCATAGGTGATGCCTCTCCTTATCAGAGCCAATGACATGTTTTGGGGGCTGTGCTGATGGTTGTACATATCAGTCTTCCTAGAAACTGAAACTCATTCTCATTGACTGTTGTGAACTATATAAACATGAACTAGACTTTTGATGTGAGTCAAAAAATATTTGGGACTTGAACACTCACGGATGGGTGTCAGCAGGAGAGTGCTGACTTTTTAACAACCATTATAATTTTCCTTAGTCAATTTAAATTATTCTAACTTTTTATTATATAGGTCCTAGTCACATGTCATTCTATGTCCGAACACATGAAGGGTCAACACTTTCCCGATGGTCTCTTGGCAATGGTATACCAATTACCAGTAAAGGAGGAGATTATTTTGTATTTTATTCTCATGGACTACAGGCTTCTCCCTGGCAATTCTGGATAGATGTGCAGGTGGGGAGAAGAAAATTGATTTTGATTTCCCAGCACTTTTTACTTTAGAAATTTCTCTAACATTGAACTTGTCATGGAACTCAGCTAGACTGTGTAGGTTAGAATCACCACACTGGAGATAAAATGGAGTGATGGTTCAGGTGAGAGATGGTTCCAGGAGGAAAGTGATACCTCCCTGTGATTAGGCATGATGTTTAAAGAATGTATGCACCAGGGTGACTCTGTTAAATGGACTGCTAGAGTGGAATTAATTTAAAGCAACATCAACTCACCCAGCACTTAACTTTGTACCTAACATACATGTTAGGTGCCTTGGGTGATTCGTTTTGTTTGAACTCTGACTTTGACCTAGGTTGAAGAGCTTCATGATAGTGGATTTTCTCTCTGCCTTGTGGGGGAACATGACTAGCACAAGATAGAGTAGTTTGGTTGTAGACTTTACCTTATTTGGTTAAAAAATTTATTTAAAAATTATTTTAAAAAGTTTTGCAGCAAGACATCATTGAAAGTATTAATTTCTCCAAGAGAATAGTTATTTAAGTGGGCTGCTGGCACACGCTTGATAACAAAATTCTATTTTTCTTTTTATTCTGGCATGTAAACTGCCCATTTACTGGTTCTCTCACTCATCATCATTCTGCTCCTTGAGGCGCTTTGACCAATAAGTAGCTCAGGGGTACAGATATATGCATTATATTCTCCCTTGTGCCTCCCATTTGGGCAGATTTAAATTATATTTGGAATGAAATGATATTGACTGGGTCAGGATAAGAGGGACTAAACGCTAAATGAAATCTACTCCTTTCTTTCTGCCAGGTCTCAGAAGAACATCCTGAAGGAATGGTGACTGTGGCCATAGCTGCCCACTACTTTTCTGGAGAGGACAAGATGTCTCCCCAGCTGGTTACCTTGAAGGATAGGCTCCCAGATTGGACATTTCCTTCTGGATGGGTTTGCACCTACGACCTATATGTATTTTAATCTTCTCTGTCAGGTTGTAGGAACATGGCTTGTGCCATACTCCATTCCTGTGCAACCTGGAATATAACCTGAGGAAGATAGTTGGCCAAATTCAGCAGTTATTATTAGATGCTCTCTGTTGCTTTCAAGTGTGGTATGGAAGCTGAACTTCTTAAAAACTGGGGGGAAAGCCCCTCTTGACAACTAATAGTTTTGCTCTTTCTTGCTTCAGCTAGGAGAGAGGCTGGGAAAAAGCTTCAAGAAGCAGAACTAGATGGTATGTTGGGGTGTGGCCTTTCTGATTCTTGAAAATACCAGGGAGTGAAGCCCACATGGATATTGTCATTTGCAAGGGTGTCTCATTTTATGTAACCTTTAAAAAAAAAAAGGGAAAAAACACTATAAACTTTCCCTTTAGGATAATGAATTAAGTGATGTCGAATTAGTGTTATGGAGAGAAAAAGCATTTCTGATTTAAAGCTGTAGAGCATTTTTGTGTTGTTCAGTGGGTAGAACAACATATGAAGTGGTGATTCTAACTAGAACTGAGCTGTGTAGGAGATAATACGCTTGTGTGAAGGTTTGAAACTGAACAGATGATCTCTCAAAGTCTCTTTCCAGCTCTAACAAACTAATTCTTAAAGGAACTGAAGAGTGCTCATGCATTACTGCACTTGGAATATTCACCAATGTTGGGAATTGCTGTAGTGTCTTGGATCACCATTGCACGTCTTGGCCTTGGTGTTTTCAATGCCTTATATTCTAGAAATCTGTGTACTTGCTCTTGAATATACCACTTAAGGGAGTGGAGAAGCCAGATTTTCCCTTGGGTTCTTGTAGGTCTTTCTTTTCACACTACTGTTAGTACTGGGTCCAGACAAAGATAGATGCAAGACGATGACTTCCTGCATCAGAGCACTGAGCTGCCCCTTCGGCCTTTTTTTTTTTTAATGTGGTTGAATATTTTATAAATATTTATTCTGATTTCTTTATTATTTAGGATTCATTATTTTTCTGGGTTTTTGCATCTTTTAGATGTTTATGCAGAAGACACTGCACTGGGTTCATGTCACCTTCTGTTGTATGATTAGTTCTATAAACCTGTTTCTTTATTGTCTACCATGACTAGTTTTCCTTGAGTTTGAAGATGTCTTTTAGTGAGATTGTACACCTGAACATACTATGAAAATGTGATAGTGCCTAAGAATTTGATATTTGGTTTGTGATGTGCTTTTTCATTTTGAAAATTTTTTTATACAGCTTGTAGGTAGCTCTCCAGCGGTAGAAATGCCTTGGTGTGTATTGAGTCCCTATAGCAGACAGATTTAAGCAGATGGCTAGTAAACTCTACTAGATTTTCCTTAATTAAAAATAAAAAAGAGGGCACACAGACATACTTGTTGAGCTTCAACAAGTACACAGTACTACAAACTAAAAATTCATTTGTTTTATGAAGATAAAGTAGATGAGGCCCCTTGATTAGAGATGAAAAACTATAAATGTCTACCTCTCTGAAATGAGCACATCGCATTGAAGTGGGAGTAAGGTGGAGAGAAAAGGTGGTCAATTTTCACAAGCTGGGGACCACAGAATAGGATAGTTTGCTTAAACCTTCTCTGTAAGTTGCCTACCTGATTTGTGACTCATTCAAACTGAAGTGAGTCCTATAGACAGTAGACACCTGAATGCTAGGTGCCACAAGGCCTGGCTTGTTGCAGCATTCCTTTCTGGAGGCGTAGCTATTTCTGAGACACCATACTTTCCATTCACAACCCACTTCAAAGGGCTGCAGAGTCTGTGTCTAGCTACTACCAGGCCTTTTGATGATAGTTCATTTCTGATTTTGTGCTGCTGAAGTTTGAGGTATTTGGGAACAGCTGTTGGAAATAATTCTATTGCATAGTTATGAAAGTGAGATAAAAAGAAGAGACTCTCTAGAAATTGCTAAATAGGTGCAGATTTTCTGTTCTTGTGCTTAACCTGAAATCTGAAATAAATGATTAGATGTATTATAGGAATAGATATAACTGTCCTAGAAAGCAAAACAATATTCCTCCTATAAGTTTTTCCTGGATGAGGAGGGATGCTGCTACTCACTTTTGATGGTAATCATGATTTTCTTCTTTACTTTTTGGAATATTTGTCCTTCTAAAAAATTCTAAAAAAAGTCTTCATTTAATTGGGTTGATCATTATGAAGTTTAGCTGACACAGGAGTTGGGCTTTCCAGGTGGTTAGTACAGAGGTACCCATTAGTCTGTTAGAATGTTAATGCAAAGATTCCCTTTATGCGTTATATGCCAGAAACGTTCAAATAAATTAAACATTCAGAGCTATTTAATAATAAGCACATTGAGCTGTTCTTGTCAGATCAGTGGCATCTGGAATAAATGAACTCATTCATATTTTTTTAGAGCCTCTGACAAGATCATTTCACTGACTCATTTTGAAAAAGGTCTTTTAAAATCATAACAAATGCTCTATTTTACACAGCACTTTAGCTGTAAGTAGCACAATGTTTGGGAAAAAGTGTGAGGAAGGATGACTTAGTTATTTCTGAATTTTACATTGTGCCTCTGACTTTAAGAATGATTGTCACATGCAGTTTCCTGTTGTCACAGTTTAACAAATGTAAATAAGCATGCTATGAATCCTTAAAATGTTACCACTGAAGCAATAATTGTGTGCATATTTGAGGAATAGATAGCCAGCTTGCTGACTCAGGAAGCCTTCTTTATAAAAATAAATATACAGATTGTGTGTATGTACATGCACACGCACACGCACACGCGTGCACACACACACAGAGTTGTTGATTTGAGTTGCCTGGTTTGTTTTGGATTATTGAAGATTTACTTGCTGCCTTATGTTACTTAAACTTTTTAACATCCTGCTTTCTTTTTATAGAGAAATATTATTCAGCCTCTGAAATTCTCCCCTCTTCCTTCTACTCCCTTTCCCCTCCTTTCAAGGGTTGCGTAAGTTTTTAAAAATCTGCTTTGTTTGTAAAATTGTAATGAAAATATAATTATGGTTGTTCTATAAGGTGGATGATGTGACCAAAGAACATAACATTTTAACTGAAATGTGTATTATGGTAGGACTTTTACCTTTGATTGAAACTGTATATCTCAACCTCATAGAAATTAAAGACAAGTTATTTGGGAGTTGCTAGTTGCTCATCTGCAGTGGATTGGAGGGATTGCTACTGTTAAATTTGAAGTGTTAATAAAATTTTTTAAAATAAAGGGATAGTAAAATGAGTTGAGGCTCAACTAGTTAACCATGTTTTATTCCTTTTCTCTCTTATCGTCTTACCTTCTGCCATCCACTTTTAGTCTAGAAACTCTCCCTGCAGGCTTTTTCTTAGTTTATGTGGCTTTCAACCTCAATCTGTCACTAAAAGTTGAAACAATTAAGGGCCTGTATTAATTATGCATCTTCACCTTTAGTAACAACAGCAAAGCACAAATGCATACACATACACATATTGCTTGGCTTTGTCTGTATTTTGGGGGATATGATTTGTTAAATCTTTGGAAAGACTGCCAGGTTGATATTTTAAGGAGTCATTTTTACTATTTCCTTGTGCTTTACTGAGGACAAAATAGGGTGCCATAACAATTTTCCCTCCAAGTCTGATTTAAAGTTACATAAAACACTCAAAATACCACTTGGTTTTTGTTTCCACATGATGCAAAATGTATTTTGTGTTAAGTGGGTGCTCTCAAAAAGATTACATTATTCATAGCCAATTTCATGCTTTTAGCCTTTAACATTTTGAAACCACATTAAAAAAGTGAAAGCTATGTTTTGTTGATCTTACATGTTTGTAACATGTAACTGACTATGAGCTGGCTAATTGATTTTAAAATAATCACACGTCTGCAACCAAAATGATTTTGAGCTCAGTAGAGTGAGGACCCCTCGGAAAAAAAAATATGAAAGTCTTTGTGCTGTCTCGGAATTTCTGTACACTCTCCATAGGAATTGTGTAGGTTCAGATAATGGTTGGGCTATTTGATCATATTCTCTAAGAGACAGTAAGAATGAGGGCAAGATTTAAAAAGTGTGTGGTACCACCTTTCTAGGAATTATGTACGATTAAGTGCCTACAGTTTATATAATATGGTGCTTGATATACAATAATAGCATTATCACTTTAAGGTTTGCCAAATGCTTTACCTTATGTCATTTGATCCTCATAACACCACCATGAGATGGGATGCAAATAAATACTACAATAGATTTGGTAGGTTATAAGATGGAGTATATTAGGAATATAAATTTCAAAAGCACCCTAGAAAAATTTGAAGCAAGGGAGTATTCATTTTTGTTTATGTTCTGTGATAGCTATAGAGCAGACCTTAGAGAACACCTTGTTGAATGCATTCATTTTATCAGACAGCCCCAGGGGTCAAGGTCATGCAGGTAGGTAGGGGGTGGCGGAGTTTGGGAATTGTACCCAGGTCTTTTAACTCTTAACTTCAGTGTCTGCACTATAGGGAAGGTTTCACTGAAGAGGTAGCAGTGTTTAGCATTCTGTTTGGCATGTAGTTGGCACGTGGTCCAACGTGGGCTTTGAGGAACTTCTGTAGGGAAAGGGAAGGACTAAGTTTCTGCTAATGGGGATGACTCATGAGTGCATGAAATGGCAGAGTACTGAATAAGAGAAGAGTAGTCTGGTTGAGCAGGAACATGGTATGCAAAAAAAAAGAATAACATGAACCAAGATTGGGAAGATACACCAGAACTGTTGTGAAAAGCCTTAAATGCCATGCTGCATATTCTAACGTCATGGTCAGACGCAAATGTTAGGAAGATTATTTGGACAGCTATATATTTGAAGAGGGGAGGTCAGTAGATCAGGAACAGTGTTCATATAACTCCCAGCTGAGGCCTTGTCAGCAGAATGGTCATTATTTCTTCTATATCATCTTTAGATTAAATATCTCAAGTAAATCTTATTAGTAATATCTCACTTCTTTTTTTTTTGGCGAGGCAATGGGGTTAAGTGACTTGCCCAGGGTCACACAGCTAGTAAGTGTTATGTGTCAGAGGCTGGATTTGAACTCAGGTCCTTCTGAATCCAGGGCTGGTGCTCTATCCACTGCGCCACCTAGCTGCCCCTCTTAATAAGAATTTGAGTTGGTGGAAGGGAACTCGGGGATAATCTTATCCCAAAAGAGATCACCAGGCTTTTGTTGCTTGAAGTCTTCCAGTATCTGGGAACTCAGTATCTTTTAAGTTAGAAATTTTTCCTTATTTTGCTTTTGTTTTTCTAACGTTTATCCATAGGTCTTCAGTCAGATTAAATATTCCTCTTTTACATGACATCTCTTCAAGTATTTGAAGACTAACCACTATCATTCCTAAATTTTTTTTATTTGGCTAACTGTCCCCCGTTCCAGTTTCAGTACATTTAAAACTTGGAAGGGGCTTTAGACCAACCTGTTAGATTTTCTAGCATCAAATTATGGGTAAGAGACTTAGCTAGAGATATAATACTCTTTACATTTGTTGAAAAGGTTTATGACCCTCTTCCCTACTCCCAATCTAGGTAGGGTTTCCTTGTTCATTAAAATATTCTGTATATTTAGGGTATATTAATTTCTAGAATCATTAATCTTCAGCACAAATTTAGAAGTAGTGTGCCATTTTTGAATGGACTTGGGGGGGTTCTGGAAAGGTGTCTTTTTATTTTGGGGTGCTCGTTTTGTCAGAATGAAGAGCAGAAGGCCTTAAAGCTAAAAACACAAGTTTCATTTAATTTCTCTAGTAGCCATAGTCCCCACTGGCAGTGTTGTAGGCTTTTTAGAAGTAGAAAACTGGTGAGAAGGCCAGAGGCATAGTATTAAGGGCCTTAGCATTTAGCTGTCACAGTTGTATGATTAGCAAATGCTATTCTTGCTGCAGAAAAAAAAATCTTTAAATTTGATCATTTTTCAAGCTCAGGGAGGTCACTGTAGCTTATTGCATTAATACTTGTTTTAGTCCTGAGTAGCTCTGAGGGGCACATTTGCAATAAGTACATGCATCATGTGTGTAGATCATCATCATGGTGTAGGCCTTTTTGATTCTTCCCTTCAAAAGTCTTTCCGTTCTTTTAAAGTGCTTAGATAGGTGTGTTTTTCATTTAGCTGCGTTTTCTGCTGCATTCTTGAATTTAAGCTTAGTGTGCAAACTGTTAGAACGATTTTGCTATTTAGTCTTGTTTGCTCAGGTCTAATTTAGACATCCTGAGGGAACACACTAAATACCTGGCAGTAATGGTTTCTTGGAAGAAACCAAGACTTTATGTAACTCGCCCCAGGTTGACATCAAGACAGCATGTCATAGGAAGGATTTGAATCCAGATTTTCTTGACTCCAGATCCAACAGGCAATGCTGCTTCATTTGTAGCATGGAACTGCTGAAGGGGATCCTCAGAATACATCTGCTTATTAGTTACTTCTAGAAACACATGTAGTACAGGAATAGAGAGTATAATTTCTGTTATCAATTGTAAGATAAGGTCAGGTTCCTAGGATGGTTTTATTTTTGCTCTTATGTACACCAATTAGAAAATACATATTAAATTGTAATAAAGATTGAATCTATCCCAAATATTTTCTTGCCTTTATATATTGTTGTATAGTAGTCACCTTAGGAATTGACAAATTACAACATGTATATTTATATTTAAGATGTGGCTTAAACAGTGGATCTGTTTTCTGTACAATAAGTCAGTCAAAAGGATAATTTGAATTTTTTTATTAAAGTATATATAACAAATTTATTACTGGAGAGAGAAAATAAACCTGTAAACTTTGCAGAATCTTTTCTTCAAGGCCTCCTAATTGTAATTCATCAGAAATAAATTTGCATCTTTTACTATGTAGAGATGTGGGACTTAAATTATTATTGCACATTCTAAAAGACCATATGAGCTTAAAAATTCTATAAACTATTAAGCTTATCTTTTCCCAGGGCATTGGGAAAGATCATTTCATGGAATAAGGATTGTTACTGCTTTCAAGGTGTGTCGTGATGCCCAGCTCTTCCATCCCAGACTACAGTAAATTGCCCTTTGTAGCAAAACTGAAGAATTTTCTCAATGTTTTAAATACTTACTTTGTTACTCATGTGCAAGGTTCTGCCTGCTTTTGAGGGTAGAGCAAAATAATGAAAGGTGTTTGAAACTCAAAACTAGCACCACAGGACCCAAGTACCAATAATCACTTAAATTCCACCCAGCCAGGAATTTTATTATTTGATATTATTGCACTTGTGATATAAAAAGTAAAGCAACAGCAAATTACCAGACTCTAAAATAATTTCAAATATATTTGATGACTTGGTCTAAAAGTATCCTAAATGGTCTTAAGCTTTCCCCTTAAGAGAAAACTACAAGAAAACCCAACCCTGCTAGTTTGTGTTTGCTCTAAAAGCAAGTAAAGACAGGACAGCTCTGTTTTTCTGAGAGTAAGATGTATGCTTATAACCACACTACAAGAAGAGTGTATTACTGGGTGGAAGGAATTTGGTCCACATCAATCAAATACATTGTCATTACAAAAATAAATGTTTTTGTTTTTTTATAAAATAATGTTGCATTCCTTTGTTCAAATTGCACAGTACAAACAA